CACTGCAAAATTCTTAAGTCACTTGATATTTCTTGGTCACTAACAGTTTCCTAAGTCACTAATAAATTTGCAATTCACTAACATATTCCTGATCTATCACTGTAATTTAAACTTATACATAGTAGGTATTAAAATTTTACTTTTTTGATAGAGCTTCGCTAACCAATTTTCCACGGAAGGTAGAGAGCACCAACGTATTAAAGAGAAGTTAGAGAGAGTAAAATGGTAAAAATAGAAAATTTGTGGTATTTATAGGTTGCAGTGGATCACGCCTGTTTTGGGTATCACTGGTCACGCCTGGTTTAGGCGTGACCCACCAGGGAGTGAAGTCTGGTTTGGGCGTGACCCGTGCCGCCCAATCAGGACGTGACATTGTGCAATACATGCGTAATTATTTTCAAAACAGCAATAAATTTGTAATTTTTTTTGTTAAAAATGCAATCAATAAATTTTTTTGCCCACGAATATCCCTAATATAAATAGGAAATTTTGTGGTAGGCTATGTTGACATATTGTGTTAAAATCAATGTTATTAAACTCGACCCGGTCGAGGTACTGGGTCACTGGATCAACCGGTGGGTCACTGGTTTAATCGCATGACCCGATAAGTATATGCAAACCTGTAATATATACTGAAATACTTGTAAAAAAAATATCAATTCCAAATATTCTAATTTAAAAAGCAATAAATCATATACTATTGTCCAACAAAAGATAAAACAAATATATAATATTTGTCTAGTCCTTAAACACTTAATATCTATCTCAAGTCTAGAACAATAACTCTTGTCGATATCAAGAGAAAACAAACAAATCAAATTGCTAGCACAAAAACATATAATTATGCCCACGGAGGCAAAGTTGTGTCAATTAATTCATGCTCTCCTCCTTCATCAAATAAATCCAAAGCTTGACCAACATTGTCTTCAGTTTGATTTTCATTTTCCATGGTGTTGTCTTGTGCCTCATCTTCATCATCATCATCCAAATTTAATTGATCTAAAACAAATATTATTTTTTCATGTAAGTTAGTTATTAACATGAAGTAATCAAACAATCAAATAATCATAGAACAATAAGTAAACACACCATTATCATCTAGAGTTGGCTGAATGGACATATTTTAAAGCTCATTCCGTAAGGCTTCCATTTCTTCAGCTGTTAAGTATGATGGTGAATCCTCTAGTACCCAATTAGAGTGGTCCTCAAATGTTTCAAAATTTATTGGATCATAGTTTTGATTCTTCAGTTGATTCCTATGTTTATTAATTTGTCCAATTCTCAACATTGTATATCATAATATATTAGTTTCGATAACTAATATCTGTAATATCATGTATTCGCTAGTAGATCAGAGCAATAACAAATCTAAATCACCTAATGGCTGTCGTCTACGAAAAAAAAAAATATTTCATATGTACTAACTAGATCAGAGCAATAACAGATCTAAATCACCCAAAAATAGCAACACTAATTTAAAAACATAAAAATAAAAAGAAAGTTTAACTGGTGATCAGAAAGCTAATAAAAAGATTAAAACTTCACACATCAACAGGTTAATGATTATGAACCAGCACCAACACACACACAAAAAACATGCATAAAAGAAAAGAAAAAACGCAAAGTTAGGGGAACCTTACCAGAAGATCTAAACTAATTTGAGAAGGTTCTTGAGACTTAAAGTCAAGAACAATGCTTGAAACTTGAGTTGACGAACTTGCTCAATGTAGTTTGCTCAATGTCTCGCTGACGAACAGTGCTTGAAACTTGAGTTGAGACTTGAGAGGGTTTGAGACTAGGAATAAAGCAAGTCAGGTGATGTGACGATGTCGTATTAGTTTTTTTTTTTTAATGAATACGCATGACCCGTCCGATTTTTGTAAAACCCGTCCGGGTCACCGATTCTCCTAAAACCTGGCCGGTTCACACCGGTTCGTACCAATTCCATCACAAGTCCGATCCAACATACAAATCGGCCCGGTTTAGTGATCGGGTCACCGGTTTTCGGGCTGACCTGGCCGGGTCGGTTCGGTTTTGATAACACTGGTTAAAATTGTCACCTTTATTGCCAAGCCAACTATCTCAACTCGTGCAAACAAGCTTTATGAAATTATGGCATGGCTTTGTTTGCTAACATTTTCATGTGACTATACAATTAACTTTCAATTAAGAAGGAAAAATCCACCGCTTACATGTAAGTAACGATAAAAAAATATAACAAAATGATGTGGATGTAAGTACATGTAATTAATAGTAATTATGATCTAATGGCAAGTAACAAATCACCTATTTTTTCTGTAAATATTTAAAACATGAGATATGTTATTCTAACTACTATTTGTTATGCATATCTTTGCCCACCATTCTCCAATACCATTGGATCAGAATTTCAACTACATTTATTATCTCTCTCTCATATTGAGATTCTGATCTAACGATGTTGGAGAGTGATAGGCAAAGGTAGGCAAAAAAATGGTAAGTAGAATAACTTATCCCTTAAAACATAATCATTGTAATATAATTTTACATTTGTATAAGTTACTCTCTAAATTTTAATCAATTATTCCATTTGTATTTAACAATTCACATGATTGATAAATTAAAAATGCTAGATGCAAGTGGATAAACGATTAAAATTAGGTGTAAAGTTGTTTATTCGATATGCGAATAAGATGTTTTATACTAAATTTTAGTCATTAATAAATTCAAATTGTTATATATAAGTGTATAATGAATGACAAAGATTAATAGTGTAACTTACAATAAATATATACAGGGGCAGGATTTTTTTACACCAATATAAGAATAATAAATCTTACATTCAATCTTAACCATTGAATTTCGTGCATCTGACGGTCGTAATCTATTGAAAATTAATAATTAATTAGTGATCCAATCAATTACAATCGATTGATAGACGAAAATAAACAGTTAAAATTGAATGTAAGACTTATTATTCTTACACTGGTGTAAATTGATTTGTCTCATATATATATATATATATATATATATATATATATATGAGAAATATTACTCTCCTTTTACATAAGATAACTTTTCTCATGCTCTCTCACTTCAATTTTCGCACTCACTTTTTTCCCCTTATAATTGTGGGACCCATCCATTTTCTCTCCACACCATAAGATAACTATCTTATGTGAAAAGAGACTAATAAAGCCCTATATATATAGGGTTTAACGTTTTTCATGTTGTAAGAGATAAAATTTATTTCTTACATATATAAAAATATGTGGGGTCCATGTGGGTCTAAGTGAGAAGAAGAGAAAGAAAATAAAAATACGGGCCTAACACAATTTTATGTGTGTGTAAGAGAAAAATTTATCTATTTCTTATGAGGAAAAAATGTTTGTCCTTTTAAATGATATCACGTTGTGTCATTTTAGATTCTAACTATTGATTTCCGTCAATCAATGGTTATGATTTATTGGATTTTATTACGAATTACTAATTAATTAATAAGTTTGATCCAATAAATCATAACCGTTGATTTCCGTCAATCAACGGTTAGGATCTAAAATGACGCAAAGTTATATCCTTTAAAAGGATAAACACTTTCCCCTTCTTATAAGAAACAATATATATATGGGATAAGTTATTCTACCTACCATTTTTCTGCCTACCACCCTCCAACACCGTTACATCAGAATCTTAACGAACATTTATCTTTCTCTCTCTTCTCGAGATTATGATATAACGGTGTTGGAGGGTGGTAGGCAGAAAAATGATAGATAGAATAACTTATCCCTATATATATATATATATATATATATATATATATATATATATATATATATATATACAAAATTAATTCTCATGTCATTCATCCTTTGATTTCTATGCCTAACTTTTTTTTTGTAAAAAAAATATGGGCTCACCAATTTTGTTCTTTTCAGGAAGCTCTATACTTCCCTTGTTATAGGAGAAGTTTAAAACCCAAAATTTCATTTCTTTTACGTTTGTTTGTAAGTGCCAAACCCTCTATTACACATCTCTCACTCCCAATGATAGCTTTTGTGGAACTCCAACTTTAGATATCTGACAGATAAATTATACCACTCAAATTGAGGTGGTGTTTGGTTGGGGTATCTAAAAATATGCCTATGCAAGTAAAAGTGGCTAACTTAAAGACCCATGTTTGGTAGACGGTTTCCTTCACTTTCCCCATCAATTACATTTGCATAGCTTTCAGCTTTGTGTATTAGAAAGCAAGGCAAATTCACTGTCACGAAAGACAAATTGCACATGGTGTTTCAAACTTAGCCAGGGAAATGAAGGATCGGGCAAATGGCATCAGACCATAATACCCTCATCATCATACATGCAACCAAGTCTGGTTTCATCTCATCTAATAGTATGTTGGTACAGTGGCATGAAGAGAACAACTTCTGTAGAGTGGATTCAATTTGAAGAAAATGAGAATGCTCTTCTTGCATTAGATTATGGAACCAAACATCAACCTTTTTTATAGAGAGAATCATAGACTTCATATTCTAAAATCAAAATTTTTAAAAAACAAGGATATTTTCGTAATTGCCACTTATTTCCCCATCTATATTTTACCTCAAACCAAGTATAGACTTTATAAATCTTACCTAATTTGTTCGGTAAATTTTTTTCCAACCAAATAATTTTTTTTATATTTTTCTACCAAACTCATTTTCCTACCAAACTCATTTTCCTATTAATTACATTTATCTAATATTCAAAAAATTTATGCTCAACCAAATGTAATAAACCAATAAGTTATTAATAATTAACTACTATAATTAATTATTATAATAAATAATGCTTTCAAAACTTATTAATTAAGTGATGCTACATTTTATCTGCATTCCTCCATTCCAGAAATAAGCATTTGTCAAACCTCACGGCCCCACCCCCTCTTCACGCGTGCTCTAATCCAGCGGTCATCATCACACCCGCGATGAACGGAAGTGCATTTCCAAGTGCCATGCGGATCCGATCCAACGGCTCAGATTCTCTTTCATAATCTCCCTCACGCCTTCAAATCACTCCAAACGTATCTTCTTCGCCAAAAATCCATGCGTCTTCATCACAGCTCTTCTCAAATTCATCTTCAATTTCGTTTCTCATCTTCCTCTTCTACACAAACCCTAGGTCTAGCTCTGTCACTGTATTTTTTCCCCATTTTTCTTCCATTTTATATCATCAATTTTGCAAAAGCTGTTTGTTTTTTTGTTTGTTTCGTGCTCAGTGATTCCAGTTTGAAGATCTATTTCTTAAAGGGTCTTTTTTTTCCAAAGCAAAACATATGTATATGCTGAACTTTGCTTTACTTATAGCTCGGGTTTTCTTTTTGAATTTGATTCACTGATTTGGTATTCTGTTAAGTTTTGATGTAAAGTTTGGAACTTTGCTATGTAGTTGTCTGTGAAAACTCATTCAAGTTAATGGGTATGAAAGTTGAATATTGGATTCTGTGCTTGAAATTATTATTCAGGATTTTTTTGAGATCTCTTCGCTGTGTTTTTTTTTTTTTTTTTTAATTTTATTTTCAATTCTTGCAAAATGTGAACTAGGATAATAACTGTTCCTTATCTTTGTTCTTTTTTCTTTATTTTAATTTCTGGGAGCTAGATTGGAGTGAGGTACTCCTCACTTCTCTCGGTTCTTTTGTTATTGATGGTTGCTTTTGCATTTCAATTGAAGCGTTACTTTGACATTTTCAGGGCAGAGTTTTGGGTTTTTCTTTTCTGATAATCTGGAGTGGAGCTAAATCAAGATGCCGTGGGTTTCCTTGTTTGTGGATCACAATAGAAATTGTGTTAGCTTGGTGGTGTTTTTTCATGTGATTCTATAATTTAATTGGCTCAGGTGAGAGATTTTGTCCTGCCAAATCTGCTGCTATAGTTTATAGAATTTTATCTGTAAAATTAGTCCAGGTCATAGATTCTATATTCTAATCTAAATGTAATTAGAACTGTATTATTTTAATGCTTATTTCTTGCTTGGAAAGCAGAAATTATGGAGTCAAGTACAATTATTTTTGATTGATGGAGAACGTCTTATGGGCTCCTATGGCTTATAATTACTGTATATGAAACAATACACTGAATACAGCTGCTATAGTTTCATACTCTGAACATTATGTCTCCTCTTTCTATGCTGAATATCACTTTCACATTAACTCTGATATTCTTTGATGGTTTCTTGCTGCTGCAGGTGAATTCCCATTAGGTTATAAAGAAACTCCTTTATTAGTGTTTTTCCCTTTCATTACCAAAACCCTCGGGGGGATTGAGATGTGCTTTGAAATAGCGATAAAGAGACATAAAGCTGTGGAGGAAGTTGGGCACATTAAGATGAGTGTTGGAGTCATTGCGTACAATCAATTGATGTTAGTTTGCCAGGTAAATATTATTTTCTTCCTTTTTCTCAATTACCACGGAGAAGGTTGTGGGATTTGAACTTCAGATTGCATTTTGTAACTTCCCTCTGATGTTGCCTGGAAGACATTTGACTCTGTACCTTTAGCATGATATAAGAATATTGTGAGAAAGAGGATATATTTTTCTAGTTTCTAAAAGTATTGAAGGCTGAGCTCCATTATCTTGTTATGGCTAATGGCTTTATTAATCAACATGGATTGGAGGTTATTGATTACTTTTTGAAAATACATACTTTTTGAATGGGATGGAGGTTTTCTCTGGTCATATAAATTGTGTCTCTTATAGATTTGACAGTATTGAACACCACTGAATTCACTAATTGTCTCTATAACAGCCAAATCATTTTTGGTTTTTTCCCTGTACTATTACTACTGTTTATACCACATCATTTTCTTCTGCAGGCTGAGTATTTCCGTCAGTTGCTTAAGCCTGTTACGTAGTCTAGCATCGAGGGACATTGGTTTAGGGAGGGTTTACCTTGAATTGGACTCCATCATTAGAAGGCTGCAGAAAAGATGAAGTTTTAATTTGAAAAAGTTTCCATTTCTCGTTAGATGGAAATTGGAATCACCTTAGTACCTGCTGTTTAGTGTTTTCATTCCTTTAGGAACTTCCATCCAGCTTAAGTACAGAATAATAATTACCAGTTGCAGAGGCCAAAGCAGCATTGCTTGCTAGGATCTTAGTGTGGGTGAACAGATATTATAATGCAGACTCATGAATATGTTCTTGCGGGAAAGGTGGTACTTCCTTTGGCAGATGAAGCTGTTGATACTTGTATGCATGCTCCACTTGCTTCTGCCTTTGATGAAGTTTTACCTCCAGGTGTGAGGCAGATAAAGGCCGTTGAAAGATTTAAATTGCTGCCATCTGAGGTTTGCCCTAAGAATTTCATTATTTTTGATCAAACAGATCAACGAAGCAGGATTATGTTCCATCCTGCAATGACCTACAAATTCAATAATCATAACTTAAATGCTCATGCTACTTGTACTCAAAATTTTGAAAAGAATAAACTTAATCAAATGGAAAGAGCATTGTCATCTCATTTTGAAGAGGATTCTAAGGACATTGATGCATTGTTGAGCTTAGAAGTGGATGAACTAGAAGATTTTGATGAGGAAGAAGTTAGCACAGCAAGGACTCATGAAAATTATGAAAGTACATCTGATACTTGTTCCAGTTATTGCTCAAAATCAAGGAAGAAGAGGTTGTCATCGTCTTCCGGACAAAAGTCTTCAGGGACAAGGGGTTACTGCAATAGTGAAAGGAAACACCAGGAGATGAAGAGGATGATGAGGATATTGAGAAGTATTGTGCCTGGTGGAGGTAACCAAATGGATGCTGTTACTGTTTTAGACGAAGCTGTTAAATACCTGAAGTCTCTCAAGGTGGAAGTGGAGCAATTTGGAGTTGGACCATGACAATTTAAGTTGGACATACAAATGCTGTGGCTACAAGTTTAACTCCATTTCCCTCAACTCCATTTGTTACCCTCTTTGAATTATGAACCTTTCCAGCCTCGCTAGCCTACCTAGTTCCCTTTTATGGGAACAGGCATTGCAATGTAATAAGCTGCCACTGACATTTTACTTATTCAGGTCATGTAAGAAAATGCCATCGCAATTCTACTTTCGGTTTGTGTTTGGCAGTGTTGCTGCTTTATTCGTTCTCTGTATGAATGCTTCCTAAAACTCGTAATTTTTATTATGCATGTCATGGGCTATTTGATCATTTTACCCCTCGTTAATTAATTAATAATCATTTTGCTCCTGATTCGAAACTATCTACTAATCTGCCTCTCTTTAATCGACTACCTTGCATTTTTAATCGACTAAATAGTTGTTGGGAGATTTAATCGACTAAATCTCCCTACTTAATCGATTAAAAAATCATACTGACTTGTTTTCTTTTGTTGTCTGTTGGAAGATTTAGTCGATTAAATCTCCCAACAGTCATTTTTGTCTGTTTTGACCATTTAGTCGATTAAAAATGCAAGGTAGTCAATTAAAGAGAAGCAGATTGGTAGATAGTTTCGAATCAGGAGCAAAATGATTATTAATTAATTAATAAAGAGCAAAAGGGTGAAAAAGCCGCATGTCATGTCATGTCACGTATGCTCAATACATTTATATGACCGATAATGTCCTCTGTTTAATCCTTGTTCTCTCAATGTCTCACAGTAACCTTGGTTACATTTAAATTTTTGTAAGATGCCTGCGTGCTACTTTCATTTTTGCATTGGATTTCATCTGACGAGTGCACTCCGTTAAAGCATACTTCTTGCAATGTTGACCTCATCGAGTATTTATAGTGGTCTTAGACCACGTTACCAAGCTAAAAGTTATTATTTAGAAAGAACCCCCAAATTTTTATTGATACTTTACCGACTTAGGCACATTTGGATGAGCTTTCCCAAAAAGTGTTTTTTATATCTTGTTTATTTTAGATGTGTTTTTTTTTTTTACAAAAACTAAAGTTATTTAGATTTTAAAAAAAATATTTGGCTTTTGCCTTTTACTTTAAAAAAAAAAAAACAGATTTTTGACTTTTTTTTATTACTTTTGCTTTAAAAGCAGCAAACAAATTTTTTCTAAAAATAAAAAAAGCTTTTGGAGGGAAAAAATCTTTATCCAAACGGGCATGAGCATGAAGCAATGATAAAATTGCTTCACTTTGACTAAAAAATCATCCGTCCAAATTTCAAAAATAATTTCATTACAGATATACAAGAGTAAGATTAATTGATCTCACCCTGGTCGAGATTTAATAGGAAATAGTTATTTATTTATGCTCAAATTTCTGTTTTAGGTCTGGTCATCCTTTATTGTAAGAAACACAGATCATTGTAATGCATGCATTGAATGTAAGTTGCAATGCTCCTGGCCCCAATTTTGCAGTGTTAGGGACGCATCCCTGAACACTTTTTTCAGTGCTAACCACAGCCTTACATTCAAATTCCATCTAGTTGCCTAACCATGGCCTTACATTTAAATTCCAAACAATACAACCTTTATTTGGCTATTGTTTTGTGATTTACTGAACAAATTATTATTATTTAAATGGCGATTCTAGCATAACTTGAAAATCGTGGATCTGATTATGCATCTAAATGTAAGCTTAATAAGCACCAGCTGAGATAATAATTGAGAGCTAAACAGAAAGGTACAAGCATCTCTTATTTTGGAATTGTAGGTGCCCTGACAAAGTTGAGGGTAGGAGCTAAAGAACATCTCACCCACTACCAAGCACATGGATCAATTAGTATAAAATTGTTCCAACTTAATAAGTCTCGAATTCGAGTCCTGGATATTCAATTGTGTTAAAACTTGATAAGAAAGAGCTTTATTACCCTTGTAATCGTGCTCGGTTCAAATCCAGATTAGTCGATGCCCATTGTCAACTAGATACCAGATGATTTATACAAAAAATAAAAATAAAAAAAATCCATGTGGCCTAATTAAATCTAGGTAATCAAGTAACTAGTAAGTCAGAGCATGACTTTACTCAGGGTAGAAAAAGCTGATCTCAGAACATTGATTCAGCTTGCAAGCAGGACAGAAGAACACGCTCACTTTGCAACACTTACGTTCACATCAGACAAGAGTTCTTCAAACTCTATAAAATAACCAACCACTGCCATAGTAACATTCCAAAATTTGTATAGAAGGAAAGAATTTTTCATATATCAAATTGCTACTATATACATTTAGATTTAAAATGTATATACTGTGGGAATTAGCAACCTTAGGCCCTAAAGCGTTTACATCCACCAGCGTCATTTTCTCTCATCTCCGCTCCAGGATTAAACATATTCTGAATAAATTCCAATACGCTGCCCAAGCTTCAGCAGAACAAGATACATTTGCAAAGGTTAACACACAGTTATATAGGACTCGCTCTTGATGTCTGCAACAATAACAAAGCCTATGTCACTAACACTTCATTATGTAAGTTAGTCTGCAACAAAGTCACAGGTACGGAGAAAACAAGAGAAAATATGCATAGAAAAGATTTGAATTAACTCACAGGAAGCTAGCTCCAACAGGGGAATAAAGGTACAACATGTGTTATAAAGATAAAGAATGACAACAATAAAAACCGGCAAGGTGCGACAAACACACACACATGCGCACGCGCACTAATAAATGAACTAGCAAGAGGTTCACTAAACAGTTTTTTTTTGCCTAATTTATTGACATCAAATATTCTGCATAGGTGTACTACTTATGTATTATGCTCAATCATCATTTAAGTTCACCTTGTGCGATGACACTCATCAGAAACAAGAAGATTGTGTATCTTAAAGTGCTTGAGCAATACATATAAAAAATATATTTTTCTGCTGATGAAGGAAAAGATAAGGAAAGAGAATTCAGCAAATTATGTGAAAGAGTTTGCACATTGTAAATCAAGCTTAAAGACTTCATCATATATGTGTAGTCAGATCAGCAATTGAATACTGCATAGATAATTTATCCAAAGGGAGACTGGGAAGCATGTGATGTAGGACCTGGTTTTGCATGCTTGTTGCCGTAGTCCAGCGCTGAGGATGATCAATTGCAACTGAACTATCAGCAACAAAAGCTAATGTCCTTGATTCTTCTACTATGTCAGCAGCTTCTATAGGTGGTAATTCTCTCATTACCCACAGTACCACTGCTGAAGGTATTGATGAGCCTGGAAAAAGTGTCAGCCTCATTTAAAGGAGATGAAACCACTTCAGAAAGCAATTGCCAATTGTATACTATGTTAACGTTGAATGGAAAACATAAACCAAGTTTTAGACTGCAAGCTATGTAAAACTATTTCAAATACTGTCATCACTCCTGAAAGTGAATGAATAAAGATTCCTGTAACTGAACTATGAGAACTGATAACTACATTAATAGCACATACCTACAAAATAATACAAAATGAGTAAAAGAGAGGTGTAAACATCATTCAGAGGCCGCTGACGCCAGTTATACAGCATCTGTAAGAATAAAATAATAATGTGATGGGAAAGTTCAGGAAATCTCAAACTTTTTATCAAGAAAAAGGACAAAGAACAACTCTTGCACCCAGTTAAATCATACATACAGGAATGTCGGTTAAAAGTTCTACACAGGAGCTTGATGTGAAGCATAGTACAGAGATAGTAGTTAAACCTGCAACCTGAAAATTGAATACTTCAATTATATATTTAAATTTAATGCACAGACATGTAAAAGAGCACAAGCCTGTGTTTCTCAGTCTCTCTCTCTCTCTCTATATAGATTCAAATGAAGCACCTAATTGACGCTTCAGATGAAAACGTAGATAAAGTGCTGGCAGCCGTGGGTGGGCACCCAGCAGCTGGCAGACCACCATGCCCTTAAAAAAAATTAAGGTCACCCAAAAATGCTATTTATTTTTTAATACTCCAGTGGAAACAGCAATGCAGTACCTTCCACATTTCAGATGAAGGTTTCTCTGCTCTAACTTTGCTCATCTTCAAGCATAATAGGATTCCTGTAAGAAAAACACCACGAAATAAATGAAAGGTTTGTCTAAAAAGCCAGGCATCTCACTACTCACTATTCATCAACACTTCAACTAAAAAAATTAAAATTAAAATCGTGACTTGTACTTTTTCAAATTTCCCAAAGCTTGTCATGTAATGAAATTTTATTTTCAAATGGAAATTTCCTCTCCGTGATATTAATGTAGGTTGAAAAAGAGATGAAAACCTTTTCTTTCATCTGTATTCAAGCTGAGTGTAGTTTATGCATTAGCCTAATTTTGCTCAATTGGAGGTAGTGAATGACCATAACTTTAAGACAGCTTAGAGATGTAACATTAGTATGTTATTCTTCCTGTGCTGTTATTGTGTAATTGGGAGCAAAACATTCAAGACATAAAATTCTGTCACAGAACAGAAAGCAACTTTTTGGGTTGCAGGAACCTCAGCCTCTCAGAAGATGGAAAGTTCACCAGCCCCCATTATAGACTGGAGTTTGGAATTTTTCACTCCGTACGATACTATGATATGAATACTAACCAAGCTAGAGCTATCTGTAGATGGTTCAAAGTGAGTATAGATAATGCTTAAAAACTTTTTTTCAACCTGGCAACTAATCTATATTTCCTATTTTCCTTATATTAGCATTAGCTATATAAATTAATAGGCCTGACACATGCCTTTTGACTTTTTAAATAAGCCAGGCCAAACCTATAATGTATCCTATACCAGGCTAATAGGCCAGGCCAGGCCAAAACATTTTGTATAGGTTTGGCCTATTTAGAATAAAGTCTAACCCGACCCAACCCATTTACACCCCCTAAACAAACAAAGTATGTTACCACAACAGCAACCATTTTTTTTTTTTTTTTTTTGATAACATTAAGGGGCGAAGCCCCAGCAACCATTTTTTTAACTGCATATGTTGATTATACAGGGAGACGAACCGGAGCAATGGTAAAGTTGTTCTTTCATGACTGAAAAGTCACGGGTTCAATTCCATGAAACAACCTCTTTGCAATTATGTAAGGGTAAAGCTGCGTACAAGGATTGCCTCCACCTCACACTAGCTAGTTGGGTTTAATGGGAAGTGAATTTTTTTTTTTTTTTATATGTTGATTATAATTTTTGTCTTCTATATTTTTGTTTTTGTAAATAATAAGGAATAATAATCCAAATATAAAAGGAGAGTTTAAAATTGTAAAATGCAGTGTCACATGGCAAGAAACATATGCATTAAGTGGAATCTAAATTCATCTGATTTGACAATAAACATGCCTTCTAGATAATCAGCTGAATAGATTTCCAGGTTCAATAATCGCTTAATAGTGATGCATTTACACATACAAACGCATAAAGTAGTACATTCACCCAAGCAAAAGAATTTAATCAAACTCAAATCAACCGGAACGTAGAATGGAAAACTACTAGAATGGGAGCTGCTCACCATAACACGCTAATGCTACTCCCAACAAAAGCATTCCAATAGCAGAAAGATCTAAATAAACCTGCATAATATTTTCAGTCACCAAACCATGCTTGAAAGCATTTTGAAAGACTATATCAAAGGAACATCCATAATTCATGAACAATCACCATATTTAAAAGACAGATTCTCACACATCTGAACAACTATGGTAGCTAAGCTTGAGTACACTCTAGGCTAATTGAACTGATGATACTAATACGTAAGCACCAGTGCTTCGCCAATACTAGCATTTACTTCATCCAATACTGTATAATGTATTATGTCATGAATTAAATCCTCAGGAAGTCCCTTTAGATCTAAGTCCTATTTAATGGATAGATAATAAAATAAAACGAATATTACTGTGCCCATACCCGAGCTGCCACTTCAGAATCAATGGGATTACTTCCCAGCCCAATCCAGATTGTTACAGCAAATGCCATCACGATGATGAAAATTAGCAATGTAACCTGGTGAATCATGCCTGAGTTATTTGAAGGAAATAATATGTACAGTAAATAGATGACTGTCAAAAGAAAAGTATTAAAATGATACCACAAAAATCAGGACTACATGAGAAGAAATTCAAGAAGAAACATTCATTGTTTCCCATACCAAAATCACAATCTTTTGCCGATTTCCTATACGAGCAAACCGAACAGGAAGGCACTTTCTATGCCTATCCATGCTTCCTAAATTTGATTCGTTTGAAGTCTTTCTTAGCAAAGGTATCTCAGAAAAACTTCCTTCATAGTCATCGTCATCATCTGGTTGATGGCAAAGGTCAACCCTGTAAAAGGGAACCCATGTGCAATGTAGAAATGAATTCATATTTGGCAGAAACAATAATGCAATAGCTTATATAATATAGCACTGCAAAAGGGTACTTTTCAATTCTCATTCAATAAAGCACTGCATTTTCATGTCAATGTTAGCAGGTAACTTGTAGAGTTAGATGATCAAATATATATGCAAGCTGCCAACGGGCTACCACCTCCTCCCTATCCCCCAACCACCACCACCAAAACATACATCTTGACTGCCTTGAATTTTCACAATTTTTTAACTTTTGCATTGTAAAGAACCAATTCAACCCAAAAGTTTAAGCTATTAGCTGAAGGCCATATTAATGATTTTATATTTCTCTAATACACTCTCTCACACGAGAGCCCATTGGACTTGAAGAGTGGACAATGCACAGACCCACCTTTCTGTGCTGAAAAAACTCCATTATATTTTGTTTATTAATAGGATAGGGGGGCGATAAGGATCAAATTTGTGACCACTTGGTCATATAGGCTTTGATACCATGTAAAGAACCAATTCAACCCAAAAGCTTAAGTTGTTAGGTAAATGCCACATTAATGATTTATATTTCTCTAACATAAAATCATGCATGCATCCACAAAAAAAATTACAATAAAGCTTTTGTATCATTAATGTCACTGTTAGTCGTTCTAAGGTTGTGATTTATTTTGTAGCCAAATTTTTTTATCCTAACATGATTTTACATATAGAAAAGGAAATAATAAAATATTAAATTTTCCACCAAAAAAATATTGAATTTTAATATTAGTGTATACTATTTTGGTTGCATAGTATTTATTTGGTGGAGTCTAACATATAATTTCTACTTTTGACGGTATACATATCATATTATACTTTTAAGTTTAACCAAGTTTATGTATAAGTAAACCAACTCTAGAGTCCAGTTTAACCTCTAATTATAAATAGTTAACACAGAATAAAAGTGGTTTGATTCACAAAATGCCAGCAAAAGAAATCAGACACCAACACTACCCATCTCATAGAACCAAACATAAATGACAGTCTGTAACATCTAAGAGGCTATGTAGCTCATACAAAAGTATGCATATGCCATTTTAAAAAAAGCATGCTTGTTTGTGGGTATATACTAATAATAAAGTAGCCTGAGTTGCAGTCTTTTTGCCATAAACAATAATTCACTACTACAGTTGTAAGAAGATGGAAAATGAAAGAAAAGTGATAAACAAACAACATAAGTAAAGACAAATATGAAATCGATAGCAATAGACGCCTAAAGAGCCATTGTAAGTACTTGTTAAATTAATTTTTTTCTAGCAAATACTGTTTAGGTGGTAAAACAAATTTAAATATCTTAACAATAAGCAAGATTACATACCAGAAGGATAAAAGAAGAAGAAATGCTGCAAAAAAAAGTACTTTGGGGAAAGCTGCAAAACAATTTTCAACAGTTCAAACATTTTAATCAAGGATACCACTGCTGTCTAGTCAGTAAAGAATGGAGACATACCCATAAAGATAAAACCACAAGAATGTGACCAACATGTCCATCCCTTGCAAGCAGCAACAAGTGTCAATGCCAAATAAACCAAGTAACCTGAAATTTGAAATTCCAAATTGAATAGCTTGGAAATCAAGAGAAAACAAAGGGGCAGGGGTATATGAATTAGTGCTAGCTCAAAGTTCATTCAGCAAAGCATGCAACTTGCCAAAAGATTATTATCTTTTCTGCATAGAATAACTGCATGCATAAAACAAGGTGATTTTAAATTAGGCTCAACCTACTCTTAGGCTAAAACAGACTTAGACTGCTTGGGTGGGCAGGCAAGCAACACATGAGATCAGCCTTAACAACATTGGAAGGCCAAAATACCAAGTTTTCAATTATGATGAAGAAGCCTAAGCAATGAACTCACCCCAATAAAATTATCTCAAAATTGGTACACCATTTTAATTGCACAGTCAAATTTGTCACAACCTAACCAAAGATACTCAAAGCATATTTTTCTTAGACGAGCAAGATTCTCAATGAACTCCGCCTATGTATGTATACATGCATGCATGGCCCGTCTAGAGGTGGCAAAGTGGGCGCCCCGCCTCGCCCCGCCCCGCCATCAACCCGCCAAAAAATGAGTCAGCCCGCCCCGCTCCGCTTTTGAAAGTGGGCTGAAAAACTCAACCCGCCCCGCCCCGTTTGGCGGGTTGGCCTATGCCCGCTATCAACCTGCCAAAAAATGAGCCCGCCTCGCCCCGCTTTTGAGATGGGTTGAAAAACTCAGCCCGCCGAGCCGAGCCCGTTTTGCCGGCTCTAGGCCCGTCCCAAATCAGGGTAAAGGAGGAGGGTTGACGTCAGGTGTAGTTAGCTGGCCGCAAAAGAAAATAGCTATCTATATGAGCAAGATTCTCAATTGGCTCTGCCTCTCATTGTGCAATAGATAAGGGGTGGGATTAACTGAAACAAGTCTAACACTCGAGTAATTGACCTATTCCATTTATAAATTAACTTCTAATTAATATGAAATAGCATGATTTCCATTATGTAAGTTTTTAATCCACAAGTAGTTTTGGTGAAATATTTATCCTACAAAAAGTTATTAAATGATGAAATTTCAATTTAATTTTACACTATATACTCACAGACATGGAGAGGGGGAGAGAGAGAGATATATATATATATAAGGGAAGTTTAATACTTTGTTGTATTTTTAATTTATTGTATCATTTTTCTTTTAACGTCCTTTTCTTACTGTATTAGGTGTATAGTTAATAATGTAGTACTGGATACAGTGTATAATTCCTTGAGTGGTTGTTAGCTGTCAACCACTCTCTGTTTAGCTTGTTAGGTGCTGAGCCATCATCTCAGTCACCTTTTCTTCTTTATACATATGCACAGAGCCTTTGTACGATTCATTATGACAATTCAATGAAAGTATGGAACTTTCGCAATCTTCTCTCTCTCTCTCTCTCTCTCTCTCTCTTTTCCAGTGACACTCGAATGGTGTCAAGGAAAACAGAAGTCAAGTATCAAGCATATCCGATATCATCCCTCAAAACTTATGCAAATAGTATAAGACGTAATAGAACTACAGTGGAAGTCCTACAGTGGAAGTCTGGTAGAGTAACTCTTAGAAATAAGACCATTTCTGACAAGGTATTATCCAAAACAAAATGCAATAAAATAATGGGCAAAAAATCAAGAACATAATTAGGAAAAACAGGTCAAACTGTTTAAGTACAAAGCTACCCTCAGGCAATTCAAAACTTCAAAATCAGAAGTACTAAAGAACATGAAAACAATTAAAAAGTTATGAAGCTTTCTGATGAAATGGCATAGTTATGTAAAAATCTATCTAAATCCAATCATTATCAACTGTAACAAGAAAGTAATTAATAAAGAATCAGGATGGACTCACATATTGTTTCAAACTATGAAATGCTAAAAGGGTAAACTTAACCATAAAAAATTGAGGAAATGATAATAAATAATTAACACAACCTACACTATGTATATCGTGTTAAGCACATAATAAAAACATTTGAACATCAAAAGTAAAATATAACTAACCCCAATTAGAAGAGCCAATCAATAGATGGAACACCTGCAACCCATCATATTTATATCTCATGAGAAGTTAATATATATAAACAGAAGCAGGTATTGTAGCAAGCAATATGCCTTGAGCAATGAGTGAATGAAAACTAAACATCCATAAAAAATTATATATTCATAAAAACTCAAAGAATAAATAATAGAAGTAACATATTCCTATGCACAATATACAAATTCCTAGCTGTATTGCAATATCCTTCCCCATGTCTATCCTTTCTTGTTATGGGGACAGCTCTAAGATTAGCTATTTCAAAGACACATGGACATTACATTTGAGACCATAATTTGTTGCATTCACCATTTAAGATTCAAATATATATATATAGAGGCAAGATCCTTTGACACCGGTGTCAAATTTGAAATTTGACACCTCATGTGAGAGCCGTTAAATCAAAAAAGATCAATGGTGTCACATGCTTACAAATCAGAGTCGTCGATCTTTTTTGATCTAATGGTTCTCAGATGAGGTGTCAAACTTTAAATTTGACACTGGTGTCAAAGGATCCTATCTCATATATATATATAGGGAAAAACTACTCTTATGCTACATGTGTTACACACCCTTCGATAACTGTGCCACCTTTTTCTTTTCTTTTCTTTTTATTTCTCAGATGGTGGAGCCCACAAATTTATCTCTATGACATGAGATAACTTATCTCCTTTAACATAAGATTAATGAAATCCATATATATGGGACAGGTTACGTTTACAACTTTTTTTGTTTACAACTCTTACAACCTCAACTATGTTCTCCCGGGGGTACACTACCCAGTAGTGTACTCCCGGGAGAACATAGTTGAGGTTGTAAGAGTTGTAAACAAAAAAAAATTGTAAACGTAACCCTCCCCTATATATATATATATATATATATATATAATGCCCCACACCACCAGCAGAATTTATAAAGGAAAAATGGTGAAAAATAGGGCTTTTGAACTCTGAAGCAAGGGTGCCAGATATTTCCTTCTGGGAATTACTAACAGATAGTTACTTTAGTAGTTATAAAAGCATATTCCTCAAGCCTTTACTATAAACACACTGGATCATCGATTCATATTCTAATGCTCTAATGAATGTTGAACTGAAAATCCTCTCAAATCTTGGTAACTGCTGTAGCAAGGACATAATTCTAACAGAAAAGCTATATGCAGTGAGACTAAAGTCCTAACCACTAAGTGTTGGCCATTCATTTATTACTTATTACATTTATAAGTTATAACTTAAACAAGTTCATCCATTCAGAAAAGCTCAGGTCATTGTAGCAGTCTCACATGTATTAGCTTGGAAAATGCACTTACTTTTTGCCGAGTCCAGCCAAGCTGTAAATTCCTCAAGTGAATCCTCAGCAACTAAGGCACCCAAAAATAAAAATAAAAATGACAATGAGTAAAGGCAAAGAACTTCAGTACTTCACACTTTAGCACAAGGAGCTTAATATCTCAAATCAATGTTGCGAGTATTATCCCAAACTCCTAAACTGAATGTTGATCAAGTGCAACTACACAAGTCAACTAGAAAATAGAAATACAATTAAAATTAAGTTAAATTTAACTATGACACCAAGCTACCCAATTTTTCCATGTCAACAGAAATCACTGCTTATTAAACACAGTATACTTCCTATGCTAATTCTTCCTTACTCAAATGGTGTCAATGAAGGTAATCAATTGAATATTAGAAATAACATTTTAAAGTAAAAAAGGCCCAATTGTTAGGCCAAGTACTCAGGGGATTAGAAAACAATATAAAGGCTCAGAATATCAAGTGATTGAATTTGACAAACTGCCATCACCAGCAACATATGGTAAGACATGATAATAGAGAAGTAGTAGTCAAAATTTTCATAATGCATGTTTCAAAATCTCAACCTATTCTCCCAAATTCCACACATTTTCGCACTCCACAATCACCCATTACACATTCCTATTTCCCCACGAATTAGACGAAAAACCCAAATTGCCTAGAACAAAGAAAATGCAAATGCAAAACGAACCTGAAAAGAAGCAAGGAAAGCAATAGTTGCGGCAACAAGAGCGAGACCGACATTGACAGCAAGCAAGAGCCGCGGAAAACAGTGGCCGACTCTGAATTCCGACATGGTCCCAAGTTGTGAGCTGTTTTTTTTTTTGTCCTACCAACCACCAACAACGTGTTTGCGTTCGAAAGACACGGAAAATAGAAGCAGATTGTGTTTCAGTTTTACTCTCATGGAGATCTATGCATGTACGAGAGATTCAGAGTAACAACACCAACGACAACAACTGTGTGTTTGGGTTTCGCTGATTTCGTGGAAGGGCATTGATGGTAAAAATAAGATGAATCTGTGATAAGAGTGAGAGGAATTAAGGTTGTGTTTGTGTGGAGAAAAAACACCTTCCTTCCCTTTCTCTCTCTCTATCTCTCTCTCTCTTTTTTTTTTCTTCTTTTCGTTTTGTTATCTGTCGCTTTTTCAGGCCTTTAAACCCTCATCCCTCCCTTTCTTTCACTCCATGCTTTGACTCTATTAATGTCACGTGTTTTTGTTTTCTTCTTAAAAACACTAATATAAAATAGTGTACCACTTCTTTGCCCGATCAACTATGGTAATCGTAATCGGTGTGCAAATTGACTCAACTCCTTTAGGTGTTTGGTTCAAGTTTTTGGAGAGGATTACCGGTAATCCTTCTTTGGTAAATGTAATTACTACGTTTGGTAGAAGGAATAAATTACGATTCCCGGATATCTAAGGATTACCGGTAATTTGATTTATAAAGAAAAGTCACTATTCAGATTACCAAAAATAATATGGTAATTCGGAATACCAATCAAAATACCAAGTAAAGGGAAAGCACAACAATAAATTTTGAGACAAAAATACCCCAATACACATAAAAATCTAGACCCAATCTATCAATTACAAAAGTAAAAATAGTTTGGGGTTATTTTTGTAAAATAACCTCATATTCCAAGTCATATTTCGTTCTAAACCAAATATGGAATCAGTAATTTTTACCCCATATTCCCGGTAATATTTTGGCGAACCAAACACATCTTTCGTAAGATTCCAAGTAAACTCAATTTCTACTGAATTCCCATTAATCATGATTCCCGGTCACCAAAAAATTTCTCCTGTACCAAACACACCCTTAGGGTTGTTTGGTTGAGGATAAATTTTTTGAATACTAGAGAAATATAATTACTAGGGAAATGGTTGGAAAATGAGTTTAGTAGGAAAATGTAAAAAAAGTTATTTGGTTGACCGAAATATTACCAGGAAAATTTATTTAAACTTGCAAAATCTATGTTCGAGAGAAACTTTGCACCTGTTTTTTCACTTCCCCAGTTATCTCAAAATACCACATCTCAAGTGGTATTCTGTAATAGTGAATTTCATCCAAAAATCAACACAAAAGTCATTTCTCCATCTATCCCATTTGCCTAGTATTTTTTGAAAAAAACTTGAACCAAACGTGGTATTCTCGAATATCCACTTACATTTTCCCATCAATCCCAAAATAGTCCTTCAACCAAACACTACCTTAGGAGATTATAACATACATATTATTAGAATCAAATAATATTACTACCAATATCTTACTATATAAAAAGGAGAACCAAACTTTAGAAAGTTTGCTGACGTGTCACTCTTTTCTTCATTTTCAGTTTTGTGTTCACGTTTGGAGGATAGTTTAAAAAGTTACTTCTTTTGAAAAAAAAATTATTTCGTAAATAAAAAATTTTAAAAAAGAGGGAGAGTCTCTAAAATTATAAAATACTTACTGGCAGACAGATGTATTAATGACCTTCGAAATTTAAATTTGAAATGGGTGGAAAAAATAATTCAAAATATATAGTGGAAGACACATGTATTAATGATCCACTACTTTCTGCATGGGTAGGTGAAAAAGTATTAATATCTTATTGTAGGTGAAAAAGTATTCAAATTCAAAATTTAAACTTAAAGGTGAGAAAAGAGGTCATCATTAATATCCCACTACTTTCGGCATAGGTAATTGTTAACCCCATTAATATCCCACTATTGGGCTTAATTATTAAAAAATAAAATTATTTTGTGTATAAATAGGTTATGTGTTACCGGGTCTTTTCATTTGGTAATTAGCTTTTGTGCATATGTTTCTTCTCTTCTCTGTCTATTTATCTTCCTCATCTTATCAAGTTGTTCTTCTATTAGATGAACATGTAATATTTTTCATTTTTTTTGTAGTACTATTGTAGAATAAAGCTGACGGGATGATTTGGAATCACTAGAATATGTATTTCTATTAAACTAAGATAGAATCACATATACAATATTACACTCTTGTCTAAATATAAATGTAAAATATCAAAGAATGCAAGTCAGTAAAAGTTTTAAATTCAAATTTCAATTATAAATATATTAATTTTCCTTTAAGCAATAATTTACATCTTATCTCCTTGAATAATACCATAAGTAATACCATTTTATGAATTTAAATTAATATAAATATTACTTAATTAAGGGTACCTGAAAATAACATAGCTGAAAACATTAATTTTAAAATTCCCATAATGAGAGTTATACGCTTGAGTTGCACATACCTTGTCTTAGTAAGAAAATAAAAAATATATCATATCATTTTTTTGAATTCAATTAATGGTTAAATTTATTTTCTATTAAACTAAGATAGAATCACATATACAATATTACAATTTTGTCTAAATATAAATGTAAAATATCAATGAATGCAAGTCAGTAAAAGTTTTAAATTCAAATTTCAATTATAAATATATTAATTTTCCTTTAAGCAATAATTGACATCTTATCTCTTTCAATAATACTATAACTAATACCATTTTATGAATTTAGATTAATATAAATATTACTTCAGTTAATAACAAGATAGTTATTCAATTTTTAAATTTTAACTGAATCTTCTTAATTTACATTAATGATCATTTATTACATGGTTGTTAAACTAATTATTTGATTTTTTAAAATTATATTAAATGTTTAGTACTCTAAATTATTATTTTAAAAATTTATTAACAAAATAATCTTCTCAAATCTCAAGATTATAGCATATCTTCTCAAAATATTTCTTGAATTGAAACCGCGTACGAGAGAGAACAAGAAATCCCATAAAAGCACTTAACCCACACTTTTCTAAAAACCCTAACGTACGTTTTCTTTGCTTTGAATCCTTTATTTTCCTTTTCGCTATTCTCTGTTCGTTCCGAAAAAATCACAAGAGTTCGAATTCTGAAAGGATTTCTCTGCGTTTTCACAACTCAGGTTTGCTTCTTCTTTGCACCCCAAAAACTTAGAATACCTATTTTAGGATTCCCCCTCTTCTATGATGGATTATCTGCGAGAGTCTATGTTTTGTGTGATTATATCGATCTTGGTGAAGTTTCATGCGATTCCCTACTGCGAATTAGTGGTTTTGATTTTAGGGTTCCTTTCAATTTATTTATTAGGGTTTTTGGAAGGATTCGCGATACGCTAATTTGGGGATTTAGGGTTGTCGCGATTAACGTGGCAGAACAAGGTTTAATTATTGGTCTTTCTCCCAACTCTGTTATGGGTTTTGTCGTTGACGGACCGGGATCGAGTCGTTCTGCCTTTATCTTTTTCCGTGTTCATCGTTTGCTTTATAGTTATAGGTATTTGTAAGTTTGGTTATGGAAAATTTGGGATGGAAAAGTGTTAGGTTTTTTTATGGGAAAATTATTCCGTGGCTTGTTGTTTATCGATGAGTTAATGGAAGAAAGCATGAGCTATGGAGGATTTTATTGATGGGATTCATTTCTGATTTGGGATGTCATTGGAATGTTTGTTTTTTAGAGTATTATGGCTTTAAAACTGGCGAGGAGGACTGAACGAATCAGTGGTACAACATGTGTGTATTGGCTAGCTGGGAGATGCAATAGAAATCCATGCAGGTTTTTGCACAGTGAAACCCCATCGCCATCAACTGTTTATTATAATGACAATACTGACTATTCTTATCCAAAGAAACCTAAGTATAACTCGAATACGGCAATGGTTAGGAAGAGTGCAGATGGCACAAATGAGGTTTCTAAGAAGCCACCGGGGAAGACCCCTACGTATAACTCCAAGGCAGTCTTGATTAGGAAGAGTGGAGATGGGACACATGCCACTGAGGCTTCTCAGAAGCCACATGTGAAGACCCCTGCGCATAACACAAAGGAAGTGCTGATTATAAAGAGTGTAGATGATACAAGTGTGGCTCAGGCTTCTCAGAAGCCACCTCAGAAGACCCCGAACTATGACTCAAAGGCTGAATTGATTAGAAAGAGTGAAGATGGAGATGGGACCAGCATCCCGGAGGCTTCTCAGAAGCTGTCACGAAGTGTCTGTACGTACTGGATGAATGGAAATTGTGTACACGGTGACCAGTGCTGTAATTTACATTCATGGTTCTATGGTGATGGGATTTCTGCACTAGCAAAGCTTCATGAACACAAGAAGGTACTTTCTTTTAATACCAGCTTTTAGTATTCAATACAACAAACATTTGCATGCATATCTAATTAAGTGCTTCTATAAAAGTCTTTTTTACTCGCCTTGGCTTATGTATTTGGATGGTATCAGAATTAATTAGATTGAACTGGATGTGGCTGAATTATTTTGACTGATATTTTTAATAATTGCTAATTAGAATGTAGTCTTTAATTTTACTATAAGCTATTTAATTCAGGAACTACCTAATCAACCAAGTGTTTGCTGGAGTGTTTTTTTTTTTTTTAGTTTATTCTCCAAGTTTCCTTGGAATGCTAGGAATTGCGTGGCTTCCTTTTATGTTAATATTTTTGGAGTACTTAAACTAAAACTTTTGACAACAGGTTGTCACTGGAATTGCTCTTCCAGTTGGATCAGACAAACTTTATTCTGGCAGCACTGATGGGACAGTTCGGATGTGGGACTGCAATTCTGGTCAATGTGCTCACGTTATAAATCTCGGTGCCAAAGTTACCTCTTTGATCACTGCGGGTCCATGGGTTTTCGTTGGTATCCGGAATTCTATAAAGGTAAGCTCATAGTTTTCAAGTTGTTTCATTTTGCAGTCATGTCTTATATGTATAAGCATTACATGTAAGCTGATTATGCGGTCATGGTTATTGTGAAGGCTTGGAATATCCAGACTGCTTCAGAGTTCACTCTTGATGGACCTAATGGGCAAGTCCTTGCTATGACTTTTGTCAATGATACACTTCTTGCCGGAGCAGAGGTAACTTCCCATGCAGTGGTTTGTTGTTGTTATTTAATACTATTCAGACCTTTTCTTTTTTTCTGTAATTAGTAACTGGATAGATCTGTTCTTTGATGAGGCTTCTATCACACTTATTAACAATTCTTTTATCTCATCTATCAATTCATGTATCATATGATGATTTAAATTGCAGGATGGTGTAATCTCTGCATGGAGATGCAGCTCTGAAAGTAAGACCCCCTTTGAACTGATTGCATCACTAAGAGGCCACACTGAAGCTGTGGTTTGTCTCTGTGTTGGTCGGAATATGCTCTACTCAGGGTCAAAGGACCATAGCATAAAGGTATGTCTGTAGTCTGGCAGTGAGGACTTTCTATTTTTTTTATTAATATATGCATATTATAAATATATTAATAATTGTACTTCGTAAAAATAACTGAATTATATATATTTTAACAATATTTGTACAATAAGTAAAGTATTGAATAAATATTTATTATGAATAAATAATTATAATAATTAATAAATGAGTAAGACTAAAAAACTGAATCAAATAATGTCAAAATGAATGTAGCTCCATGTGGATTTTGTTAAAAAGATGTGATTTCACTAGACTACAGATTCACAAATTTAAAAACGTCTGATGGTCAGTTCTTCATATTGATGTAGACATTGCTAAAATGTTCTTGGTCTTTATGTTGTGTGATGTTCAAACTGACATTATGATGTGTTTTCTTATAGATGGTTTTATATATGTTTGTCATTATAAATCTTAGGTGGTATGCTGTTTTCCTTTGTTAGCCACAATTGCTTGTTGCTTGTTTCTACATGTAGCTTGTCTGAAAGAATTATTTGTTATCTTGTTTTCTTCAGGTGTGGGACCTTGATACATTGCAGTGTGAAAGGACACTCAATGGACATACTGAGGTAGTCACATCCCTTATTTGTTGGGAGCAGTTTTTGTTATCAAGTTCATCCGACTGCACAATTAAGGTTTGGGGTTTCACTAAGGAGGAAACTTTGGAAGTAATATATACACACACACAGGAAAATGTAAGTTGCGTTACCACAATAACATCTTGTGCATAAGTAAATTTTTGATTCTATATCTACATTTAGTTGTATTTTCATTTGTGGAAATCAAGCTGAAATTTTGTTTATAATGGCCATGGAGTTAGTTGATTCACACAATCAATATTTTTGTTTTTGTTATAGGGTGTTCTTGCACTTTGTGGGAGGATTGATGCAGAAGCCAAGCCCATACTGTATTGCTCTTGCAGAGACAATTCAGTTCGCATGTATGATTTGCCATCGTAAGTGAACTTAAATCTGCATCCATTTTTTTTTCTTCTGTAACTGTCATTGTTATGTTATTGTGTTGGGCAAATGTTGCAGCCCCTGACCATGTCTACATTTACAGATTTTCAGAAAGGGGTAGGCTATTTTCGCAAAAAGATGTTCGGTCATTACAGATAGGTCCTGACGGGGTTGGGCTTTTCTTCACGGGAGATGAAACCGGTTTGCTAACTGTCTGGAAATGGTTGGAAGAGCCCAAGGTGCCATGAGAAATGCCCATTTTTTCCCATCAACTGGTCTCTTTTTTACATCAAATGCCCAGTTGCTGCGAGTGATATTTTGCAGGAGGCAGAACAAGATTTAATTCACTTTTTCCTGTACAGTGAGCAATAGTGATTGTAACAAAGAAGTATATAATGAATGAAAATTTCCAATTCCGATGTTCTCTTTCTTCTGGTAGTTAGTTCATTCTTACTAACGAATGTTATTGTCTCCTGCTCTTATAAATAAAGAATCTTTTATGGCTTTTAATTCCCAATTACAAATCCCTTTCTTTGGCCAAGTCAATTACATTTTGGGTGTTGCCACGGATATTATTTGGCACCCTTCGAGCACTTGTTTTATCACTTTTATGTTGCTGAATATTTTCCATTTTAATTATGTGGGTCGTCCACTGTGTAATTCATTTTTAATACAGTGCAAGAGAAATCTCATACATTAGGACTACTTAAAATTAAAACAGTAGCGTGAACCTAATCGGAAGTCATAAAGAGCATAAAAACCTAAAGTCCTTATCTTCTATTAAGCTACCAACCGACTGGGTGTTTGGTATACAGTATTTTTTTGGATTCTCGGGAAATTAAATTTTTTAAATTTTTGGATATTATCATAAACTGAATGTAAATATCATATATTTGAAAATCGAGATTTCTGGACAATTTTCTTTTTCCCTATACCAAACGCTCCCTGGGGGCGTTTGATACGCGGGATTTTGAGGGATTCCCGGGAAACTGAATTTTTCTAAATTTTAAATTTTCAGATATTATCGTAAACTGAATGCAAAAATCATATTTTTGAAAATTGAGATTCCCGGACAAATAAAAATTTCTCTTGTAGCAAACGCCCCCTAAAAGATTTTTAGACGCACAATCCTTTTAGACTAAATGGGGAAGGCCATCATATCAAGCCCTTTTCTTTGGGTCATTCACTAAATTAACAATCACTCTTCACTATTTGATAACGAATGCTCATTAAAAGTATGTCCTGCTTATCCACTCAAGTATATAATTTTTTTTTTCAATTAATTTATCGATCATCTGACTAATTTTTTTTTCAAGTATCGAATATATGGCTTTAGAAGTAAGTGTATGAAATTTTAAATCACAAAATATATTTCTTCAGTGGTAGGAACCGATCTAACGATCACAAATTCTATCCATGGCAAAGGTGTAGATGAATACTTTATATGAATCACTTACAGTAATGCAATCCGGAGTATGTGATGTAGAATAATTGATAATTCTAAAAAATACCTATAAATTTTCACTTAATTAACCAATGATGGATCCTTTCTTGGCAAGGCTCAAGTGAGCTAAGGTAAGGTTAGATCCAATTTTTATGCATATTAATGGAGTTAAATATAAAAAGTTGCGTCTTTGACTCATATCAATTTAAATAAGAAAACAATATACAATTGCACACTATAATAATTTGGAATTAATTTCCTAGGCTAACTGAGTCCTAAAAAACTAAAGAGAGAATTTGAGAAATGACTGTGGTACTTCTGGTTAAAGTGGGATTTACTGGATATTTTAAGAAGGGGTGAAGCATACCCCACTTTCCATGAGGCTGTAGACTTTTTGGCTTCTCTTATTTGATTTTTTTTTTATGCCAAATTGCTTTCATAATTTTGTGTGTGTGTGACGTATCTGCAGATCTTTAAACCTCAGATAGAGAAAATAAGACTAGAATGTATAACACATGATGATTTAATATTAAGAATATTTCAAAGAGTTGAAAAGCAAACTCTGCTAAAGAAATTATTTTATTTGATAGTTAAAATAACAAGTCTCAACTATAAATAAAAAATAATAATTATAAATTGATAAAAAATATAGTTAAATATATTCCACAGAAAACTTCTTAGTAATTTTATTTGGTAATTGTTTCCCTCGTGCAGTATTAGTTGAAAACTTGATTACCTCATATCAATTGAAAACTTGAAGTTGTGTATATATTCTTCCATGATATAAATAACAAAAACTTACATATCTAAAATAGAATATAGTGCTTCGAGTTTAGTTCATATTTTACCGTGTACATTATTATGTGCTTGAGCTATTTTTAATATTTTTGTAAAATTTGAAATATTTTTAATAAATTTTTTTTTTTTTTTTTTGTATATATTATATATAGAATAGGACGTAGCATTTGCTGTCAGTTGATTATGTCTAATACTCCAATTGGTATGTCATATATTACATACAAGTGGTGCAATGAGGATATCACTTGCTAATTAATATACCTTTAATTTTAAAATTTTTTTAATGAAAATCTTAGGCAAATTATAAGAAGTCGTGTATCATTAAATTGTATTAATTAATATAATATATGGGATCAAATGTAAAAGTAATTTTTTTTTGAAAGAAGTACCTATTATGAAGACAACTCAGATATCTCCGTTTCTTCATTTAATTAAATAATTTATACCCATTAATTGAAATTAAATTCTAAATTTATTTGACATGGAAAACTTTAAAAGTATTGATGGAGCAAAATAAATTTAAGAAAAACACATTTAATTTGTGTATTATAGCAATAAATAACGTATGCTTTCTTACTCTATAAAAACTTCTCAAGTCAAATAAAGGTGCATCGCTCTAGAGCTTCCTTACTCTCATCTCTTAGTATAATCTTCGCCAGAATGGAGGGTAGAAAAATCAAAGGAAAACAAAATGAGGGATCAAGAAAATTGAGAAATCAGGCATTCACAAGAAGGGACAGAGTTGAAAACAATTTGTGGTGCTAGTGTTCATATACTCATGTTTTTTCCTTCACTAATAGATTTTCCTGATGGAGAAAACATGACTATATCAAATTTATCCCCACAAAGTGTTTTCAACTCTGTGGCCTTTTTTTGAATGTTGGATTTTTCGCTTTGTGAAAATGATTAAAAAGTCTTCTTCATTCCTTATTTTTTTGATATCCTTTTTTTGTTTTCCTTTACTTTTTTTATCCTTACTACTTTTAGGTCCATGACAAGTCTTGTTCAAAGAACAACACCCTTCAGTTGGTGGCATCCATCATAAGCAGTGGAGGATCACGATCAAACATATGTTGCTAAAGCACGACGGAAGGAACAAATGGGGGCTTTGAACACATGGAATAGCTACGTCTCGTTGGAAGCTGAAATGCAAGATCTTAGTACTGAACAAAAAAAAATTGTGGCACCCCTAGGGGAACTCCAAATGAAATTAAAAACAATTAAATTTCAATTAAATATGGAGAGAATGTTTTTCATGCCTTTGTTGGGAGGAGGATATTTGTGATATGTGAAAATATAGAAAGACTTAAAGGAAAAGATCACTTTTATTTCTACTCAATTATCTTTTTTTTTTTAATTTGAAGCAAAATGGTGGAGAACACACCTATCCTTAACCAATGACTAAGATTATGCCAACACATTTCTCATCTAAAGGCTACAAATAATTTAGAGAGTTTTCCATAACCTCCTAGTCAAAGCATTAATGATGTTGGTGCAACTGTTTCCTATAACACTCATAAGTAGATTATTCAATAAAATGGGCTAAAAACCTCTTAAAGATAATTTTAGAGGTTGGGCCAAATAACTTTGAGTCCAATGAATAAAAAACAAGTTCATTATTCAACACCCCTTTAAATTTGATTTTATAACTCCAAGGAGTTTTCTCACAATGACAAAATTATCATTCATGAGTGGCTTGGTAAAGATTTTTGAAACTTGTTCTTAGGATTTTGCAGACTATGGATGTATGTCTTTTTTTGCAGTGCATATTTGCATTACCTTATATAATGATGTCGTGTATGAATATCCATCTATCATGAAAGACAGACTTCTTTGCTAATGCTTTTACAAATTTATTAATGTTATAAATTTTGATTGGATATTCTTTATGTCTATACAAATCCTTAGAAGATTTCTACGTCAAACAACATGACATACACATTGTATAGCTTTGCCCAAACAACTTCATAAGAGAAATGGGTAGCAGTAGGTTGTTTCTTTGGAATCAATGTCAACGCAGTGTCTCTAATGGATAACACATATCTGGTGGTGCAGTGGCGATATTACTGACTAATGAATAAGCCATTAAATTTTCTTAAGAAATAAATCTAATGAAAATCCAAGGTAAAATGTAACAGGTCGACAATATTGATTAATATAATTTAAATATACGTATGATAAAATATAATAGTTATTGCTTTAAAAAAAATTACATACTATGATGACAACTCAGATGTCTCGAATTCCTCATTTAATGAAACAATTTATACTCATCAATTAAAATTAAATTTTTTATATATGCATATTCAACTCCTTCAACTAGTTCCAAAGGCAAACAACATGATAGACACATGATATAGCTGCGACATAACTGATTTCATGAGTGAAAAGGGTAGGAATGCATAGTGTTTTTGAAATCGAAGTCAACGCAGTGTCTCCCATGAAGAACACATACCCGGTGGTGCCATGAGAAATGTCCATTTTCCCCCATCAACTGGTCTCTTTTTTACATCAAATGTCCAGTTGCTGCAAGTGATATTTTGCAGGAGGCAGAACAAGATTTAATTCACTTTTTTCTGTAGAGTGAGCAAACAGTGATTGTAAAAAAGAAGTATATAATGAATGAAAATTTCCAATTCCAATGTTCTCTTTCTTCTGGTGTTAGTTCATTCTTACTAACAAATGTTATTGTCTCCTGCTCTTATAAATATGTTAAGAAGAATCTTTTATGGCTTTTAATTACCAATTACAAATCCCTTTCATTGGCCAAGTCAATTACATTTTGGGTGTTGCCAATTGCCACGGATAGTATTTGGCACCCTTCGAGCACTTGTTTTATGTTGATGAATTTTTACCATTTTAATTATGTGGGTCATCCACTGTCTAATGCATTTTTAATATCATAAGGTAATACATATAATACAGTGCGAGAGAAATCTCATATGAAGTCATAAAGAGCATAAAAACCTCAAGTCCTTAAGATTTTCAGACGCACAATCCTTTTGGACTAAATGGGGAAGGCCATCATATCAAGCCCTTTTCTTTGCGTCATACACTAAATTAACAATCACTCTTCACTAATTGATAACAAATGTTCATTAACAATATGTCCCTGCTTATCCACTCAAGTATATAATTTTTTTTTCAATTAATTTATCAATCATCTGACAATTTTTTTTCAAGTATCGAATATATGACTATAAAAGTAAGTGTATGAAATTTTAAATCAC